ACCTCTGATCTGACTCTTAAAAAGGGGAAGCTGAGCCATACGTGTTGACCCATGCCTGTGATCCTAGCACTTAGGAGGCTGAGGCAAGATTGCTGCAAGTTGAAAGCCAGCCTGGGCTACATAGTGTAGTGAGATCCTGTCATGAAAAAGAAATAAGAGGAGCTGGGGCCATCCCACTCTGCATTGAACAAGTATGTTTTAATATCTCATCATTTTGGAAGCAGGCATTTGGAAACATTTCGGAAGTAAAATAACAGAAGCCTTATGTTGCCCAGGCTGTTTTCCTATTTGCATCTTCCTACCTCAGACTCCCTGGTAGCTCAGACTATAGGTGAGCACCAGTACACCCAGCTTATAGCTCTTCTTTTTTGTCTTTTTCCTTTTTATTGGTACCAGGGATTGAACTCACGACTGCCTGCTTGCAAGGCAGGTGCTTATGCCGCTGACAAAAATCTCGCACCTTGCAAGCAGGCAGTCGTGAGTTCGATCCCCGGTACTGATAAAAAGGAAAAAGAAAAGAAAAAAGCAATTTTATGGTTTTTTTTTTTTTTTTTTTTTTTTTTTTTGCAATTTTATGTTTTCACAACCCTGACTCTCCCACTGGCTGCATTTCTCTACTCCTCTTCACAGCTACCTCGTGCACACATGCATGCATGCCTTGTGAGTGTGTGTGTGTGTGTGTGTGTGTCTGTCTGTCTGTCTGTGTGTCTGTCTGTGTGTCTGTCTGTGACTGTGGATGGGACCCAGGTCCTCGTGCATATTAGTTAAATGCTCTTCTGAACTATAACCCCAGTTTGTCGGCCTTTTTTTTTTAGACAGGGTCTTGCTCTGCAATTCAGGCTGTCCTTATATTCACTATGTAACCTAGGCTGCCTCAAACTCACAGCAATCCTCCTGCATCACTCTCCTGAGTGCTCAGACTACAGGCATGGAACACCAGACTCTGCCAACCACAGCCAAATTTTTAAGAGTTGTCTACATACTGCTTCTACCTTTGTACCTCCAATTTATTTTGTAACTTTTTAAATTTTTGTTTTAAAGAGAATAAAACCAAGCAAAATAAAACAGAATAAAGCCAATCAAAACAAACTGGTGTGACACAGCACTTCAAGACAATAGAACCTCAACAATGGTTACTGTAATGCCTCCTGTTGTCTTCAAAATAGCTTCCCACAACCTCAGACATAGTAAAAATCAAACAGAACAGACTAGAACCAATAAAAACAGAATAATGAATGCGATAAAGGACTTGAAAACAAGAATAAATTCAAAATGGCTACCATAATATATCTTGTTATCTTTGAAATAGCTGCCCATATATATATATAATAAAATCAAACAATAAAATCCAACCCAACAAAACAATAAAAATGATACAGGACTTCAAAATAAGATAATAGGGAATTAACAATGGCTGCCACTTTCAGAAGGAAATCCCCCATAGATGCTACGCTGCATATTGTTATCCTCTAGATAGATGATCATGCTATAGGCTTTAGACCTGAAAAGTCAGGGAAACACTAAACACTATAAGCATTAAATAATATTATACCTCAATAGCTATCATCACAGCCTGTATTTCTCTGGATCAGCTGGTATTTTATAATTTTTTACTTTGAAATGATTTCAAACTTGCAAAAGAGTTTCATAAATATACAAGAATTCTGGAATATATCAGAAAGGAAGGTTTTGCAACAGTCTTTGTATATGGAATGTATTTTTTCTGAACCATTGAATTGTCCCTTAATCCTGTAAATATCTCAGTGTTCATGGTGTAAGAACAAGGCTATTCTCTTGTATAACTCTATCCCCATCTAGTGTGATGATCAAATTCAGGAAATTTTTTAAAATTTTGTATTTTAAAGAGAATAACATCAAACAAATCAAGCCAATCAAAACAAAACAGTGAAAGTGATACAGAACTTCAAAATAAGATAACAGAAAATCAACAATGGCTACCATAATATCTCTTGTTATCTTCAAAATAGCTGCCCAAGGCCAGGGATTTAGCTCAGTGGCATAAGCACCTGCCTTGCAAGCACACAGTCATGAGTTCGATCCTCGGTACCAAAAAAAAAAAAAAAGATAGCTGCCCATATCTTCAGACATAATAAAGTCAAACAAACCAGAACACAATAAAACCAATCAAAACAGAACAATTAAAGTGATACAGAACTTCAAATCAAGATAATTGGAAATCAACAATGGCTAATATATCTTGTTATCTTTGAAATAGTTGCACATGCCATCAGATATAATAAAATCAAACAAAACAAAACACTGAAAATTATATAGGACTTTAAAACAAGATAATAAGGAATTAACATTGGCTACCACCTTCAGAAGGAGTTCCTCCATAGTTGCTATATTGCATATTATTATCCTCTAAAGAGATGCTCAGATTGTAGGCTTTAGGCCTACAAAGTTAATCAAATACTAAACATTACAAGCATTAAATTGTTTTGTTTTGTTTTTTTACTTCAGTAGGCATTATCCCAGCCTGTGTTTCTCTGGATCAGCCAGTTGCTAGTGGTTGTGTGCGAGGGGGTGTTCAGCTCTTCTTGTCTCCCAGCCCAGGTGCTGGCTGGCTCACAGGAAGGGGTTGGCTTCTTTGTTTCTTGTCCCAGCCTGCGGTGGCTGCTGCTGGCTCACCCAGATTCACTATATTTTAAGTGATATAATTCTAAAGCCAGATGTGGTGGTGCACACCTGTAATCCCAGCACTGGAGAGGATGAAGAAGGAAGATCACTGGGATTTTTGAGGCCAGCCTAGGCTACATAAGCAAGTTCAAGGCCAGTCTGAACTACATAGCTAGACCTTGTCTCAAAAAATTAATTAATTAATTTTAAAAATTGATACACTTCTCACATCAATAGAGTTGATATTTAAAGCTCTCCAATAGGCCCATAATGTTCTGCATAGTAGTCCAACTCCCCATCTTGTGTCTGCCCAGTGCCTAACTGAAATTGTGGGTTGCACTTAACCATCAGGACTCTAGTTTTCTTCCATCTAGAGTAGTTCTCATTGTTAATCATGATAGTCACATTTTTAAAGAGTGCTGGCCATGCTTTCTGTAGAATTTCCAATTTTCATTTGTCTGGTGTTTCCACCTGACAAAATTTACCTTTTCTTTTCTTTTCTTTGTTTTTTGTTTTTTGGAAGGGGCAGGAATATTACCTATGTGAGGTGGTGTCTCTCTCAGTGCATCATGTGAGGAGAAACACAGTATCACTAAGATCCATTATCAACTGTGTTCACTTTGATGCATTGGGTGGTACCTATAAAATAATGGTGTGTAAGTAATGGTAATCTGTGGAAAAATACGTTAAAAGTATATAAAAAACTCATTCTTCAAACTTTCCCCAAATGGTTTCAACTTTCATTGATCATTCTTTACCTTTTCTTTCTTTTTATTTTTGTCCTTTTTGAAGCAGGGTTTCACTATGCAGTTCAGATTGGCCGTGACCTCACTTTGTAGCTCATGCTGACCTGGAAATTGCAGCAATCCTCCTGTCTCAGCCTCCCAAATGCTGAGATTACAGGCATGCACTATGATGCCCAGTATTATTGATCATTCTTGTCTGAATGAATTACTACAAAAGCTGCAACGCAGAGGTTTTCTGACTTTACTATTGTATTTACATTTATTCATTTATTTAATTTTTTTTGAGACAGGGTCCCTCTATGTAGTTCAGGCTGGCCTTAAACTCATTTTGTAGCCCAGGCTAGTCTTCAACTGGCATCCATATTCCTACTTCAACCTCCTCGGTATTGGGATTATAGGCATGCACTACTATATTTAAACTGTTTACATTTTTTAATTAGCATTCTACTGTAAGTGAAATCTTTTCCTTTTTTATTTGTTATCATCAGCTCAGACTCACATGTTATAATTTTATTTACTATGCTATAATCCTTCATCATCATTCTATTTTTCCATGTTCAACTTGTCCCAGGGTGGGCCACTGAGAGCCTCTCAAAGTTGGCTTCTGATTTGTGTCCTTTTGACATGTCCCCATCACTGTTTGTTTATTCATTTTTGGTTATTTTTTGTATTTCCTTGTTTTCTCATAGTGTAAGATGTTTTAGGCTTATATTGTGCTATCACTAGTTGTTTTTGGAAAACAGCCATATCTCCAAAGAGCTTCTCTTGTAGTAGGAAATGGTATTTAGACACCAAACTGAACACCAGCCATATTCATTGTTACCAGGGTATAATAGTTCCGAGGCACTTTTAGTAAAGAGAGCTGCATGGAGTGAGGTGTAGAAAATTAATCTGGGTAACTATTTATGCAAAGTTTGAATGGTTTGGTTTGGTTTGGTTTGGTTTTTTTAGTACCAGGGACCAAAATTATGACTTCATGCTTCTGCTGAGATATATCCCCACCCACTAGTTAACTATTTTTAGTCATAGATCTGTTATTGATGCCTCTAATTATTGATGCCTCTAAAACTTTTTGTTTTGTTTAGATTTGTTTTTGAGACAAGGTCTCAATATGTAGCCCAGGCTGGCCTCAAACTTACAGGGATCCCTCTGCCTCAGCCTCCTGAGTGCTGGAATTACTGGCATGCACCATCCTGCTTGGCTCTAACTCCAATTAAACATCACAGAATTCTTTATTTACATCCCTCTTTTCCCACCATGAGAGCTCTGGCTCCCAACAAACTCACTGTCTTTAATCATTAACTCAATGTGATAATATACACAAAATGGTTTCAGAAGTGCTATATTCATTCCACTACCAAAACCAGCCTACTAAATGGAGTTCAAGTTTTGCAGTTTTATTTTGTTTTCAGAATCAGGGTATACAGTGAAAGTACTGTGTTCAAAAGTACTTGGGTTCTTTTTGTCTTCAGTGTGGTGGTATTGTTTATTTAAATGTAGTTAGATTCATCTGTTGATATTCAGTGTGAGAATCCTTTCCCTTCTTTTTGATTTAATTTTCATTTTTAATATGTAAAAGTGAACATTGTCTCAAAATTCAGATCTTTGCAAAAAAAACATATGGGCACCTTCACAAATCTGTGTGCCATCTCTGTGTAGAAGTCTTGCACATTTTCTGAGCATTGTTGCAGTTTTAGCATATGTGCTAAAAAGCAAGCACTCCTCTAACTCATTCTTCAATCTATTTGATTTTATTTGTTGTTTGTTTGTTTGTTCTGAGATAGGATATTATTGTGTAGTATCATGAGAGCCAGAGCTCTCCTGGTGGGAAGAGAGGGATGTAAATAAAGAATTCTGTGATGTTTAATTGGAGTTAGAGCCAAGCAGGATGGTACATGCCAGTAATTCCAGCACTCAGGAGGCTGAGGCAGAGGGATTCCCTGTAAGTATTATTGTATATATTGTGTATGGCCTTGAACTCACCACAATCCTCCTGCCTCAGCCTCCTGAGTGCTGGGCTTATAGGCATGCACCACCACAGCCTCCTCAATTACTGAAACTCTTCCTTAAAAAAACTACTCATCAATGGCCTGTAATTTCCTATCGTTGTCCTATTTGACCTTGCCACACTCAGCTGACCTCTCCAATTGTCCCCTGCTGTCTGCTCTCGTTTTTTATGGTACCATACTCTTGGCTCTACTCTCTCCACATGCTTTTTTCTGTTTCCCTTTTCTGTTTATGTATCCTAAAATTTGTTATTCTGCAGCTCTTCTCAGCTCTTTTCACTTCTCTCCACATACTCTCTTCCTAGATGATCCCAACTCTTCCCCCAGACCTCTCTTCCGGGCTCCAGACTTATAACCAGCTGCCTACCTGACCTCCACTGGAATTTCTCATGGCCGTCTCAAGTTTAAAGTGTCTAAAATGGAACTAGAATCCCCCTGCCAAACCTGCTTTATGCAACCTCTATCCTCTCCCTAAATGTCATCTCCTCCTTACCCAATGGCTCTGGGGAGACCTCCAAGTGGTTCTTGATTCTTCTATTTTCCTGAATTACAATGTCCAATCCATCTCCAAAATATGAAAGTTTCACCTCCAAATTTACATCAAGCTAGTCTACGTCTATCCGTCTATACCATAATCACTTCATTCATCATTGGTCACTGGCCATACACCCTGCCTTCCTTTAGTCCTTCTTCGCCCTCTCCTTTGCAGCCTTACAGTGTCACTTTCCATATAGTCTATACGGTGACTTTTTAAAAACACAATAATAGGGGCTGGGGACTTAGCTAAGGTCACAAGGAGCCAGCCCTGCCGGTCACTGACAAGCCTATCGTGGCTTGACTTTGAGTCACTTTCCCAGGTCTGGTCCAGCTGTGTTAGAGCAGGATGTGGGTGAAAATGGTTTGTAAAGCCTTTCACAAGGATGTGGCCTTCATGGGTGACTGACATTTGAGTACAAGTCATAGTTATAGCAATTCATTAACCAGGGCCTTACCTAAGGCCTGAGTTCCCCAAAAGTTCCCCTCTTGGATAAAATCTTCAGTTTATCACCAAGGTCATTTGGAGAGAATAGTAAACACTAATTGTAACTACTGAAATTCACATAGCATTTCTAAAAGTGCAAGAAAGAAGATTTGCATCCATCTGCATTTGTACCTCTAGCAACTACAGAAAGTAAAGAATATTGTTTCTATTCAATACATATGGAAACTGAAGCTCAGAGAAGTAAAGTGTTATCCGCAAGGTCATACACACACCACATAAGAGCCAGCACTACATGCTAGATTTCTGAGCTCTCACATGTGGACTTCGTTCACTGTATTTTGCTGTTCCATTTCCTTTGTAGGGCTGTCATTTTGAATCACAGCCCAAATGATTTGTAAGGATTATGCATTTGAATGTGCTGTGAAATAGTTTAAGAGAGCTTGACGATATTTTAGTGTCCTATAAGGCAGTACTATAGATGGGCTCTGTGGACTCTGGGCTCTTCTACCCAAGTACTTACAGAGACTTATCATGGGCATATAATTTTACATGTACTCTCTACTAAACTCTATAATATCTGTTTTGACACAGATATTATAATTTCCAACTGTGCAGATGAGAAAACCAAGTTTTAAAAGTAATCAAGATGGGGCTGAGAATTTAGCTCAGTGGAACAGCACCTACCTGGCAAGCATGAGATCATGAGTTTGATTCCCAGTATATAAAAAAAAGTGACTTGATTAAGTCACCAGACCAATGTGTGATAGTTAGTCAATGGCAATGCTGGGATCCTAATTTAAGTCTGTCAACTCTAAAATCCAACTCTCGTACAGCAGTCTACACCAGTGGTGGTGAACCTATGGCACATGTGTTATTTATTTTAAGACAAAAATGTTAATGTATGAGTCTTATTTCTAAAGAAAACTTCAATACTCAGGTTTAATTACAGTGTTGGCACTTTGTGATAAATAAATGAGTTAGGGGTTGCAACTGGGGCACTCATACCAATGGTAAATCTCTTTTTTGTTTTATTCTTTGGTACCAGGAATCAAACTCATAATCTTGTGCTTGCCAGGCAGACACTTATACTGCTGAGCTAACCACCCTGGTCAGGTACTCTAAAATTTTCGCCATCACTGTGCTACACTGTCTCCCCTTTCTCTCTTAGGTGCTGCAGGCCAAACTCAGAGCTTCCTGCGTGCTAAGCAAGTGCTCCACCACTAAGATATCCCATCCTCTTGTCCCTCTTCCTTTAATCAGCTTTGTTACCTGAGTCAAGTCATTTAATTTGTGTGACCTTCCATTTCCTTATCAGTAAAGCGAGGGGCTCAGGACCTAATTCATGACATTTTTATATGGTTATAGGAAATCACGCAGCTGAAAAATTTATTCCAGTAAACACAGCAAGTACACACTATCTTTCAGTTTATTTGGATCTAAATCCTTGAAAAGAAGCAGAATTATTGACTTCACTTGCCAATAAGGAACAGATTTCCACTTGTGAGAAGCTATCCTGATAAAAGTGCCCAGTTTATCCTTGTGGCTGAGTAGTACTCCATTGTATAAACTACCACATCTTTTTTATCCACGCCTCAGTCAATGAGCATTTAGCTTGTTTCCAAGATCTGGCTATGACAAATTATGCTGCTATAAACAGGCATACATAAATATGGCACTGTGGTATACCACAGGCACTGTGGTATGATGTTTTTAATTCTTTTGGGAAAATACCCAGAAAGGGAATAGCTGGGTTGAATGAGACCTTCAATCCTAGTTTTTTGAGGAATCTCTACACTGATTTCCACAGTGGTTGCATCAGTCTGGATTTCCACCAACAATGGAGAAGGGTTCCTTTTACCCCACAGCCCCTTCAGCATTTGTTATTGCTTGATTTCTTGATAGTAGTCTTTTTTTCAAGGGTGAGGTGGAATTTCAGTGTTGTTTTAATTTTCATCTCTCAAATAACCAGTGCTGTTGAACGTTCTTTCATGTATTTATTTACTGTTTGTATTTCTTCATCTGAGAAGTGTGTATTCATCTTAGATGCTCATTTTTGGATTGGGTCTTTAAATCTGAGAGGACTGATTTTTTTTTTTAGTTCTTTATATGTTCTCAATAGTAATCCTTTATCTGAAGAACAGCTGGCAAACATTTTCTCCCATTATGTGGGTTGTCTCTTCTGTTGGTAGTTTCTCTTGCTATGCAAAAGCTTTTCAGTAGGGTGAAATCTCAGTTGTTGATTGTGAGTTCCTGTACAATCTGGGCTTTGCCAGTGTCTTTTTTTTTTTTATTTAAGAGGAAAAAGAGAAAAACACAAAACAAAACAAAGCAGTGTAAGGTTACACATAATACAGAACTACAAAAAAAAACGTAACAGTAAGAAATCACCTGTTAATAGATTACATATTATCATCTTGGAAATAGTTGCTCAAATCACAGTATCAAAGAATACAAAGTAGACATTCAAACAGAGAGACTGCAAACAGTTGTGTTCAATGATCCAAAAACATTAATATAGTCAGCTATTTAACACCCCTAAACACACTTGCTGTTATATCCGTTAGAGCTCTTTTTTTTTCCTCCCTCTCTTTTTTACAACAAAATTTACACATTTTGGATTGTATTACTCCTTAGTTCTTATTACTTTTTTGGGGGGGAGACAATAAAGTCAAATATGGCAAAACAAAGCTGTCAGTCAAAACCAAGGATAGACATAGCACATGATGTAGAACAGAGTACAAGGTTATTAACAATGGTTATCAACGTTGTCTCTTGTTTCCTTAAAAAGAATTGTCTATCTCATTAGATATTATAAAGTTGGACAAAACAGTAGAGAACAAGACCAATAAAACTTAGGCATTGTGAACATTACAGGACTTCCAAAGGAGACAATAGTCAAACCAGAATGGGCATCTTAGTGAATCTTATTGCCTTCAAAGTAGTTGCCTATACCCTCAAACTTGATACTATCGCACAGAATGGAACAGAGTCTAATCAGTCAAAACAAGATCGTGGGAGTATTACAGGACTTCAAAACAAGTTAATAGGAAATCAAAAAGAGTTACTATTATATATCCTAATTTTTTTTAATTTTTCCCTTAATTAAAATAAACATAAGAAATAACTAAATAATTTTTTTAAAGAATAGTAGTTACCATAGTGTCTGTTTTTTTCCTTGAAATATTTGGATAAAACTTCATATACTATAGCTTCAAATATTTCCATATCAAGAAGCCCAGAATAAAGCCTTTCTAATTAATAAGTGAAAATTTTATAAGGCTTCAATGCCACATAATGGGGAATAGTGATTACCACATATTTTTATATATTTGAATCATTACTTACATTAGGGAAACTATTCGGTATTCATACATGCGAGATTGATTTATTTCACTTATGAGTATGGTCTCAAGCTGTGCCCATTTATTGATAAATATCTCAATGTGATCCTTCTTTATAGCTGAATAATACTCCATTGTATAGAAATACCACAACTTTTTTATCCATTCCTCAGTTGATGGACACTTGGGTTGTTTCCAAGATCTGGCGATTACAAATTGTGCTGCTATAAACATAGGTGCACATATATCACTGTGGTATGATGCTTTCAGTTCTTCTGGGAATATGCCTAGAAGTGGAATAGCTGGAATAAATGGGATTTCCAATCCCAACTTTTTGAGAAATCTCCAGACAGACCTCCACAAAGGCTGTACCAGTCTACACTCCCACCAA